ATGGTGAAAACATTTTTTTCAATTTAAGTGGTTAAATGTAAATTCCCCTTCTTATTTTCACATGTCAGTCAGTCAGTAAACAAGATATGGAAAACAAATCGAATTCAGACTAAATTATTTATCTTATCTTTATTTTTCTTTGGAAATCTGATTGAAGTCCATCCATCATATTTAGCTAATATAAGTCTTGTCATAAGTTTTATTTATATTGTGTAATTGCTAATTTTAGTATTTTTCAGATAGTGCAAAATTACACAATCCGTTGATGAGATATAACTTTGACAATGATTGATCAGTCAGAAGTAACTGAGAAATGCATGCTACTTCAGTGTGAGGCTCAATAGTCGATACTTCATTTGTTAACGTAAACTATTTGTCTTATGAAGACCACCAATACATTTTCTACATAGTTCTCTATTACAGACAGTATAAGTTAGAATAGTTGTTTTCCAGCTTAAGAGTATGTATATTTCAGTTATTTTAAGTGTACATCTAAATATTCACATCAGAACACTAATTTAACACACTCTTTAGATAGTTTCACATCTTTATAATGTTTCATAAAATTTCAATCCGTCACTGTAATGATAAACGTTACCCAGATGATGTTTCAGATGTAGTGTAAGTTGTCTATATATTGAATCTAAAAATGAATTACATAAAGGATTTCAAATGGCATACAATGAAATCTTAATGTCATAAAGAACAATTTAATTTATTAAACATAGATGTATATAAGAAATAAAAACTTCGAACACAAATATTTTGATTGTTGTATACAATAAGCTAATGACTATTATAAGTAAACACAAGTAACAATGTAATCGATGTATACAGCTATTATCATTTTTCATTGAAATAATTGTTTTTCAGCTTTGTTATCTTCTTGTCGGTATACTTTTCGCTGAACTAATCTTTTGTATTTAAATTAAAATGGAACATAGATTCGATATGAAAAGTCCCTGAGTATTTTAATTTATGAATTCAATTCAACTATAATGTAATGAAACAAAACGTAATTCTTTTCTCTTTTTTTCTTCCACTTACCCGTTGCTCAACTCGTTATTTATTTATGGCAACTATTGGATTTGTGTCAGAAGAGGTTTTGTGGAGATCATAGTAATTTCAATAGTTAAAATCTCAAATCAATTGAAGCTAGACCACCATGATAAATTTGAAAGTACTGGATGACCGTTTCGTTCTATTATGGGATTCCTCAGCAGTGAGCATCCAAAATGTAATTCCTTTTTCGTTTTTTCTTCCACTTATCCGTTGCTAAACTCGTTATTTTTTGTGTTAACTATTAGATTTGACTTTGATTTATGTAGTTTATTTAATCATTTGAGAATATATTTCGAAGTAAAATTTACAAAATTCTTATTGTTTCCTATTTGAAATGTTTGTTTAAGACTAATCTCATAAAGATATTGTTGAATTGTAAATGTTTTTGTTGTTGAAGAAGAGATCGAAGAATATTGTACACGTATATAAGCAAACTGTTCATTAATTAAGAGAGTTCCTCACTATATGAAACTGTTCTCGTCAAATTTTATCCAGAAATTCTTTCATATCATCATGATAATTGCTAAAACTGTCATCATTTTATTTAAATATGTTTTTCTAATTCATTTCGTTACCAGGTCATTGGGTGATTTAATGTTTAATTTTACAACTGAGTTATTTTCTTATTTTTCCGGTCGATGTTTCTAAATGTATAAACAAGATCATTTTTATAAAAATGTCACAAACTAATATGACATACATAATTTGTCGAATTCATTGGAGTCAAATAATATTGCATGAACATTAAAACACCATTGACGGCACGGACTAGCGGGTAAGCCAGGGATTTTCGCGCACACGTTACATATTGTCGTGGATTTTTTGTGTCGTTATTTATCAGCTATTAACAGGCTTTTTTGCATGACACATCAATTTCTGTATTGCTAGTGCTTGTAACATAGTTTTTATTCCAATTTATTGGCAGTTTGACGTATTTCTTGCTCACCACGTAAGTAAATCTGAAGTTAGCTTAATATAGTTATTTGTAACAATACAAACTCAAGCAAGTAAAGTTCACCATGTTTCTAGTCAAAAAATACATCACAGATTGAGTTTTCATGAAAATGAACCGTAAAATCTTTTACATATGGTTCACCTCCTTGATTGCGGTGACGGTGAACATGGATGTCGGTAGTTGTTTATAAAATGTAAGTAGAAGCAATCAAGCGTTAACCTAATTGTGAATATTATATAACTTGTTTGTATTTAGCCATAAAAAGTTATATCCATTAGAGGTACCATTGTTTTGTACTGAAGTGACATAATTATGTAACGTATAAAAAATATGTGAGTAACAATTGACGTTTATAGTGTTGTCCAGCGGCTTTCTGAATGTCTGCAGTAATAGTGTATAACACCACATCAAGTAGGAACAAAATCTTCATGAATAAAACGATCGGTGTTTCTTGTGAGAATGGTGACACAACCATGTTTTTTAGTTAATACTGATTTGTGACGTGTCTGTTATAGGGTTCACAAATGAGTTATTATATACTCTTCACTCCGTTTCGGTAATACAGTTGTTGTGTTACTTAGGAAGTTATGAATGAATGTCACTACTTGTTAATAAAAGACTTATAGGCACAGTCTGTTACTTGCTATTTGAATAACTTATTGAATATGATACTGAGAACAAAGTTTAATTGTTTGTCTCAAAACGGATTTGTTGTTTTTCAGAATAGTATGAAGCTTATGGAATTTAGGATTACGGAAGATCGTATGGAAAACCGGTTTACAAGTTTACGATAACTGTTTTATATTGCCTACTGCTATGCTCATTTATCTAATGAATTATTTAAATATAAATATAACAACCATACGCAGTGTTTTATATTATAAATCCTGTAAGTTTGTATAATTATGGTCTAAATAAAGCCAAAACAAATATTGACGCACAATCATGTGACTGCATTACATTTCGTGGTTTCTTATAAGTTGCATACAACTGAATATGCATTATAATTTAAGATTGAGGGAAGAAATAGTATGAAAGATAATAGAAAGCAAAGAATTGGAATGACCTAGGTTATCAATAATAACTATACATATGTATATGCTTGAACAGGTCAAAGGTCATTTGGTGTTAGACTTAAGGGAACATAAAGGATGGGTGGCGTAATAGTCGAGTGAAGCTCAGAAGCATATAAGATAAATTGTGTGATAATCCTAGATGTAATGAATAAATCATTGAATTAAGAACTAATAAGATAAGTGAAGACAATCTGAAGAGTTAACATAATTTAGCAAAGAAGTGTGAGTGCAAGGGTGGTCTAAGGATTACGTAATCCATCTTATCAAGGAACTAGCTGCATGAAATTGTCTAGTTCCATACTAATACTAACTTGATAATGGACGTAATCTGACAACGGAAAATATGTAAGGCGGTTGTTTAATCTGTAAGGTTTTACGTGGAAGTCGCATTATTGTTTTATTTGACTCATTGATTCCTGACAATGAACAACGATATAACGCTAAGTTCTAACGACAGTTCGTAACTAATACAGTAGTACAAATTCTTAATTTTCACACACAATTAATCGTTAAAGCGATGGTAAACCTCCCCATGAAAGTATGAAGAAGACGAAAATAAAAAATGAGAAAAAGTTTATTGATTTTTCATGACTACTAAAGTGGAAAGATAAGTTTACAAGTTGTATAAATAGTGGTATAAAATAAAGCCACAAAGAACTGTTAATCGTAAACCTGATGTCTAGCTGTTTATAATTCTTAAGTAAAAATTGTAGACCCTTCTCTCCACCTGATTCGCGAAGCGTTCACCATATTTCTCAACAATTCGTTGTTTGCACATTCTTTGGAGCCGTTGAAGTTGTATGTATTCTTTACTTCGTCTCCGTAATGAAATTACTGTGTTGTTTTGTAAATTGTGCGTATTGTCTAATTTCCATCTACAGCAACACCTAAGAAGTTGATGAGCTATGCAGTTTATATTTTATAATTTAAATAGCTTACCTGTTAGACTTCGTCTTTTAATATATGCCAGCAGGAGATGGCGGCACGGATATCGACACATATTAAAAGTGCTACAATTGCATTCACAAATACTTACATCTACTTCGTAATGTTGTCCGCGCTCAAGCATAAACAACCACTCGCCGCTTTCATATTCTAAGTTAACGAAACGCATTTTTTTAAGTTCGTATAACACTTTGGATCTTGCGAATGGGGTCAACATGTTCAGCAAGGGTATAAAACGCTGTGGAGCATCATAATTGTATGTTCGTCCACTGATTATTTGGTCTTCGATGCTTTTTCTAGAGAATGTCATTGAACTCCACTTAAAAGCCTTGTACATGCACTTGTGCAAGCTGTCGCTTTTGCGTACATATCTTTTAATCTGCCTATTTAATGACTCAACACGATTATTCGTGTTGTTACCCAAAGTTAATACACTGCCGTAAAAGGCACGCGCCCACATTGTTTTACGAGGCATCCAGAAACGTGACAGGTACTGGCCTATCACTCTGTCTCTGCGGTTTATTATTCTGTAATATTGATTAAATCTAGTGAATAAATACATTAAAAAATTACCTTCCGACCGTTTCTGCGGTTACCAGTCGAGTCAAGTAGGTTTTTAGTATTTTATCATTTGTCTAAAAGAAATTTTATGTAACCAACCATTGGTGTACCTTTTTGCGGAAAGCGCGAATCACATGAAAGGCGCACAAAATAATGTTTGCATGCCCGTGTGTTATACGGACAGCCGCGCTTTCAGATCGTGCGCAATCCATCACAAATGTTTCTGTTTTGGTCGTGTTACCCATTATCTCCTTGAATTTATCCAAAATCCACGTAAGATCAGCACGCTTTTCTTTTTTTGTCCATGCAAACATAACAGTTCGACCTCGACCCCAATTGTCTGTTACCACTAACTGGAATAATGAATACCTACATAGTAGAACAAAACGAAAATCATATTCACTTTTTATTATTAGTTTTATAAGTAGAATCAATACACACGACTTCGGGATATTGATTGTACAGCCGTATCTGATCATAACTGCTGAAGCATACCGCCGTAATAGATCCATTTTCTGCATGCTCTCTAACTTCACCGTTTTGTCGCATCATCTGCAATACCTGCTTCCGAGTCCAACCTGAAATATATTTATATACACTTACCAGTGGAGAGTTCAGCTTTCATATTTTTGACATCAGCAGCGGTCACCTGCTTACCTGTTCTTTCCTTAATACTTTCGATAACTTCGTCCGTCGACTGACAGTGCAATATAACTGGTTTCAAGTTTTCTTTTTCTTCTGATGACAATCGTCTACTCAACGGATCACAAACCATCCACGAACTAGTACACGGATGGTTGTGAGTCATGTTGTAAGATTTTATAACGTATTGTTGACCCTCCAATCTTACGCGAAACATCGATTGGCAATTTAAAAATTTAGACCTTAAAGGTAACACATTAGTTAGAGTCCTCACGGTTTTTTAATCACATTCAGACCTTCTGATTTACGTTTACGACCAAACGTGCAACGAAACACTACGAACAAGTATTTATATCTCACATCCTTCAACAATCTACTTTCTGCGTGAACATAGTGTGTATGGGTCATCTGAGAAAACATAGATTTATCCCATCATACTTTATGGAAATCCTTTAGCGCATTATCTAATTCAATCCAGCTTCCGAATCTCTTATTCAGCATAATACGTTGGAACGCGTCGCTTACGTTCACTGAAATTTCACTTGAGCATGAAGCACTAGAGACAACATACAATAGCTGTTAAAAAAAGGTTATTCCTTGAAAAAAATTAACTGAAGGAAGAACAACAAATATTTAGGACTTACCCTTCAGTTGACATTTCGTCTTAACTCACAAAAACTATGCGCATCTATAACCTTTTACGTTATTTTTTCTTTCTTACGTTGTTTTCTGGACCTTATCAACAAATTATATATAGCTGTTGACTTTCACTACAGCACTTAGGACCACAGATCAAGTTTCGAAGGAACAACAGAGCTAAAGTGTGCACTACAAAACAGAAAATACTCAGTTAATGCTCTTAGCAGTTATTTAGTGTTTATTATGCATCAAAAGATGACTTATATATGGAAACATTTAATACTCATAGGACCCAACACACACACGGCAATTGAAATACGGAATGCCCGCTTCCAGTCAGCGCGTTCAAGGTCGTTGAAACGAAACGGCGGACAGATTTGAAAGGGATTACCGTTTAAACCTTGTCACCATTGACATATATGAATGACTTGGGAGTTTTAATAAACAGTGAGGATTGAATCCGGTTTAAACCGTTCTTGGAAAAAGTAAAGCATCAGAGAAAAACAAAACACTTATTATCACAATCACACTTCAAATGATTTTCAAGCACTTAAGCGCTTATGAATGTTGAATTCGGCTGACTACAATATGCGCCGTAGTTATCATTCAAAAGATAAAGCGTATTGACTGACTGTTTTATTTTATTAGCATAAAATAGGCATTTGAAAGTAGTTTCCGATGAGTGATCTCATTTCAGGACAAATTTACATTACATAAGACATTTCATTTAATGTTTGAATAAAAGTTATACATGACAGTTACTCTTCTTTAGGTAAAAATTAAAAGGGAGTTTGTGAAACGGACATAACTGAATCCGAATACTTAGGAATCATTCCTTTCATGTTTCTTGATTTTGTTAAAAGTCAAGATTCAAAAATACCAGTCATGTCAAAATATATGATTTTGTTTAAGTTAATCTCCAGGATTGTTACTTAAAAACACCTGCTTAATAAAGACAATTGTTTGTTGCCTTAGTGATGTAATTACACAAGCACTTTGAACAACCATTTCCAATCAGAAATGAATTGATTGATAAAAGCGTTCTAATGCATATCTGAATTATTTTATCTATTCTTTATGACATTACCATTGTTTCTACTGTAAAACAAATTTTTGTTTCAGTTAAGAGATTTTATTGAGTTTAATTTAAGTTGTAAGCCGTTTTCGTAAGTTGACATCTATTGAAGTATCATTTGAAACCAGTAGAAATTTGGAAGATAGAAGAGAATGTAAAGGATCTCAAATATTCATTGTGTTAAAAATAAAATACAGCATAATGCTTTCCTCTATAAATTATTTCAGTTCAATATTGCTACTTAAAAACAGTTTCAGATACGTTCATAATGAAAATTTCTTTGACAAATTCCATAGTCAAAGTTACATATTTTCCTATGTTTATTAATAGCTTATTACCCCATGAAAGTAAATAAAAAGTGAGCAGAAATGAGTAGTGTAGTTCAGGAAATCATAGGTTTATATTTTATATCCATACAATTTAGGTGTAGTGAACGAGAACACGAGTGGAAGCAACCAAATATATTTCAACACAAAATTACAGAATCTCAGTAAAATCTGAGAACCATACAGTAAATTCTCTATTTTTAAAATGTTAATCACTTGTCTCAGACTTCATTGTTCACTCATTTTCATACCAATCATTCACTGTTATAGTTCTTTTTTTCCTTCGATCTTCTTGACCTTCTGTCGCTAGACATTTCACTTTCGATAGATGATACATACTACTTACATCTGTCGACATCAGTAGCACACACCACAGAGGTATTTGTTTTTCTTTATAAGTTATATTTTAACAAACAGTTGTTCATTACACTTTTCTCACAATACTTGCAAATTTTGAAAGTTGAGTTTCTGTTATATGGACTAGAGTTGATGTGACAGAGTACTTATCTTTCTAACTTGGATTGAATAAATTCAATGATTGAATTAGTAAGTTCGAAAGTGTAATAAGATAGAGTTGATCTGACATTGATTTCAGTATGATCGAATATCTGAAAACTAATAGTAAACTAATTCTAAACGGAATCACTATTATACATTAAAAGATACGTTCTGTGAAAGTTACAATATGAAATCGAAATTACTAATCAATTCACATAAATAAAGCGCGAAAGTTAAGCCTTGCCAATGATTTATTACTTATAGTTTATCATACGAATGAACATTTTGATCAAACATTAAAACTATTTTGTTATTTTTCGAATTATTTTTTCATACTAATTTGAATTGCTAATATACAACATTCCTAAACATGATTAAGATGTAAGTGGTTTCTTTTGATAGCCTTAAGTAGTAAACAAAATAATAGGCCATGCTCATGGAGAATATTTGAAAATCTATATTACTAGAAAACTAATCATTTAATGCACAATGTCGATAATTAGCAAAAGATTTAATTCTGTTCCGAAAGTTGGATTAACTACTACAATGAAATATGATTTAAGGTTCTTAATAATTTGTATTTTTTGATACGTTACCACTTAAGTAGTTATACTCATTTATCTTATTTTACAAGTGAATAATAAAAAGAATGGTTATCTGAAGTTTGTACAACATATTAATCAAAACGTTAGATTGTTTAGAACTACTCCATTTTAAATAAGATCTAATAGGAGAATTTGAAACTTATTAAACATTCAATCGTCTTTTAAATTTTCTTGAGAAACCTATTATTTAAGTGTGATTTAGTTGTTTTACTCATATAATAATTGGATAAATAATATGCAAAAATGGATAGTGGCTAGCAGTGGAATCGGGGACGCGAGTTTCTTCCTATTTGAGACTCGTCAGAATGATCTACCTGCGTCTCAGAGTTGACGTTCATTCCGGGGCTCGAACTCGGTAGCGCCATCGCGTTATCCAATTAGCTACTGAGTCCTGATAACCACTTGCTTGTGCAATGGCGAGAAGTCACAAATTTACTTGGTATTGTTTAACTTGAATCTTGCCATTGATGTTTAGGACTGCAGTTGATCAGTCTCTTATTGGCATATGTGCATAATGTTTGTAATGCCTCGATTTAGCCTTAATTCACAAGCATTATAAGTAAAGATGGATAGTGGCTAGCAGTGGAATCCAGTAAGTGCGTTTAGCCCTATTCGGAACTCATCAGCTGGATGCAGCTGCATCTCGGAGGTAATTTTCACTGTGGAGCTCGAACTCACTACCGTTCTCTTCAAACGCCTTCGCTTTATCCACTTAGCTACTGAGTTCTGAGTGCCTGCATGTACCTGGATGAAGGCTATATCGATGCAATACGCACAGTATGCACATATAATAATAAGTGACTGATCAATTGCAACGCTAAACATCAATGGGAAGATTCAAGTTAAACAATACCAAGTGAATTTAGTTAAATAATATTTGACAGATTTTAAAATTCTATCATTATAAACTAAATCAGAAAACTTGTATTTTTCTTTTCAAAATTTAATAGTTATTGACCTACTTTTATAACAGTTCAACAAATAAATTGTAAAGTTTCACGAACTCAAGTTTATACAATAAACTAATTATGATAAACGTTCATTTATATGAATGAAACTAGTAAATACGAGGTTGTTTGCTAACCCTATAGAAATGATATAGATAATTTTGTATGTGTCATTACTTACGAAGTATCAAAAACTCGTAATTATTTCCGGTACATTTTTACATTAAAGGGGATTTCAATAATGGCTAAAGAAATATGTTAATTGGTTTGATTATAATTGATAAAATGTGATATAAAGGAATAGATTGAAAAAAGGGCAAAAATTACAAAAAGGTAGTGAAAGGGAATCAGAAAATAGTTTTGTTTGCTTATAAAATGAGAAACAAAGTTGTCTAGGTAACTGTCACACAATATACATATTATGTCTTTTGACCAAACTGTTTATACAGTAATTTACTATTCTGAGATCCGGTTCACTATAATCATGGATGTTAAAACATTTATATGTGTATATAATTCTAATGACCATCATCTTTTAATTGATCTAAAGCTAACAATTAAACACTGATACTGTATGTGATAAAAAATAAAGAATCCACTACAAAACATGATGCAGTAAATTACATGGAGTACTAAGTGAAACTGTTTTGCATATAAATGGATAAGTATCAGTTGTAACGGTAAACGTAGTCACAATAAACATAAAGAAAACAAAAGGTTTTACTTAATTATATTTACTTATCAAATCATTAAATACATGTGGGGACATAAAAAAAATGTGATTTACTTGTGGTTTATCAATCACCTAAGAAAAAACATCAATAATGAGTGGTAGTAAAGGAAATATAACCTGTTTTGTCTCTGATGTTCGTACGAAGCACGAACCTTATTTTCAGTATACATATTTTGTTCATGCTTTTATATAGCAATATAAAGCTCAAGCTCGAAACTTTGATTCCATTTGATCTAACATTCTGTATATCTTGAATAAAGAATATTGAAAACTAAGTGTCTTTGTCACCCATAGCTTATTGAAGTGATGCATGAATACATTCTATAAGAAATAATTTCAACATCAAAGATCAGTTTAAGATTCATATTTCACTAAATAATCATTGGCAACAGATACTTTCACATTATTTTAATTTTACACTTGTGTATAAAAAATTTCAAGGCAATCCCATTTACTCGATTCTGTAGTGTATGATTGTTCCAGCGAAAATCAATCCGTAATCATATTTAGATGCAAAATAAAGCGATATTTCTTATAAACAGGCACGATAGCATAAATGTCAATTTACATACTTACTTCACTTACGTCTGTTACTCCCAATGGAGCATAGGTCGCCGAACAGCATTCTCCAACCCACTCTGTCCTGGACCTTCTTTTCTAGTTCCATCCAATTCTCGTTCATTTTTCTCATGTCTATCTCCACTTCTCGATGTAATGTGTTCTTTAGTCTTCCTCTACTCCTCATTTGGCCTTGAGGATTCCATGTGAGGGCTTGTCTTGTGACGGAGTTGGGTGCTTTCCTCAATGTGTGTCCTATCCACTTCCAACGCTTCTTCCTGATTTCTTCCTCCGCTGGAATCTGGTTTGTTCTCTCCCACAGTACGTTGTTGCTAATAGTGTCCGGCCAATGGATCTGAAGTATTTCGCGTAGACAATTGTTAATAAACACCTGTATTTTCTGGATGATGGTTTTTGTAGTTCTCCAGGTTTCTGCCCCATACAGTAGAACTGTCTTGACATTTGTATTGAAAATTCTGACCTCGGTGTTGGTTGACAGTTGCTTTGAGTTGCAGATGTTCTTCAGTTGTAAATATACTGCTAACGCTAACGCTAACCAGAAAAAAATTATACATCTCAATTGGCT